TTGTGAGGAGATTAATTCATGTTTAAGAAGTGCGGTTGGGTTAGAGTGCTCGGTTGAGATAGAAAATGACGTGATGCGTCAGATTCTCGCGGGTGGGTACTTGTATGGGAAGGAGAGGGTGGGGATTTGGGTTCAAAATGTGGTTCGAGGGGCGTTTTTGGAAGTTGGGGAGAAGTTCGGTGTGAGTGCTCGTTCGGTCGTCAAAATCGTTGGGTGCGAGGGTACGGCCTGTGATGACGAGCTACTTCCGAACCGGATTTTGGTCGGGTAGATTTGTTAATTAGATGCGTTTCTGTAGAGTTTTTATTTTTATTTTATTTTTTTTCTTTACTGTGAAGTATACTATGTGTTTTATGTAGTGCTATAAAGTGTTGGTGAATTTGCAGGTTGAGTTTGGGCAAAACAAAGTTAGACTGTAATATTACATTACATGTCTTTCTGGTTATGTATTTTCTTGTTATACACGATTATTTGTAGTCAGTTTAGCAATGATTATTTGAGCCCGAGGGATTTTGTCGGGCCGAACTTGGGTTGGGCTTGTGAAGATGAGGAGGCCCGGCCCAATAGGAGGGAATACCCAGCGGCTGCTGAGGTGGCCAAATACCCACATATTTTTAAAAATAAATCTCTAGGAGATTCTACGATCTCATTACGGAATTATTTCGTCGGAGTTTTGTAATCGTTAGACCAGCTATTTACGTCGGTTACATGATGATCTAACTGTTACAAATCTTGATGGAATAGTTTCGTAACGGGACTGCAACATTACCCTAGAACTCTTACGATGTTTCATGGCCACAATGTTTTGTCCGGTCCCTTAACTCTCTTTAGTTGGTACAAATTACAATTATTTATGTCATGTGAGAAGCAAGCTTAGTGTTAATTTTAAATTAATGATTATCAATTAATTACAACATTAGAACCTAATTGTAAATTGATGACCTTTAATTGTTTGTAAAGTATTGCACGCTATGCAGAATACACGGAGACAACTATAAAAGGTGAAGAACAATTCTTCGTAAAATATGGTGTCTTGTTAGGAGTATAATATTTTTAGTCTTTTATCTGAAAAAAATAAATAGGCTGTCATTACAGCAATGTTTCAACTAATCTCCTATATATAATTTCGGAATGCGATGAGTCTACGTGGTTGTTTCTGGTGCTTCGAAATCCTATTTGGCGAAGAATCATGCTTCATAATTAGGTTTGGATAAATAATATTGATATATTAATAATTAATAATCTAGGTTCGCGTATTCCATAAATATTATTTAGCTAACTTAGGTATTTTAATATCACTTTTACTAATATAACCCTTTAATTCTTTGTAATTTTACATAATGAGGCACTAAGTGACTAATATACCCCTGAATTTTGATTTGTTTCCTTCAATAAGCTATTGAATTATAAATGTATTTTAAAAGTTGATAACTTTTGTATTTCTTAACGGTTTGACATATATAATATATCAAATTAATCATTTTTTGATGATCTTTGATTTGACATTCATATTGTATATATGAAATAAATAAATTATATTTATCTTTATAATAATAAAAAATAATAATATTTATTAAAATTCATTAGAAAAATAAAATTATCTCTCAATTGATATATTTATATGTAATGTAGTTATATATTGTAAGTTAAAAAAAATTAGTATAATATAACACAAGTAAGTTGCACAAATAAAAAGTGTCATAATAAATATATAATAATATATATTCTTATAAAAGGTATTTAAATTTTCAAATTACGTTTTCTCATTAATTTTAGATTTTAAGAAAAAAATTAGCAAGCACCCGTGTAATACACGGGTGTTGTACTAGTAATTCAAATAATAATAAAGCCACCCTTTAAATAAATAAAAACAAATAAATCGTTTCTTTCTAAATGCTATTTTGGGCCGAAACTTAAAAAAAAAAAAATAATAATAATAAATCATTTGAATTGCACAATTTGGTACAATTCAATTAAAGTTGTTTAGTACATAAAGTTTTTGGTTTCAATTTGAATTTTTATATATGTGTTAGCTTTACAAGTATGATTTTAGGTTTATTTGGTTTGCATTGTCTTGCATGATACAAACACAAAATGCATAGGAAAACCTAAAATATAGGAAGACACTGCAATTCGTTGAGACTCAAATTCAGTTTTTTGTATGAGAGTATAAATTTACACAAGTTGGGCCTCACGCTTTTTTTTTTCAATGATAAAAGTGTATAAGTGGTGTTAAATTAAACGAGCTTGGCTCGATTTCGGCTTGTTTGAGTCGTGTTCTAGCCTATTCAAAACTCGTTAGGTTAACCAATCGATATCTGCTCGGCTCAATCAGGCTCGAAGAAAGAAAACTTTTTTATAATTTCTTATAATTCGACTTATTAAAGCTAGATCGACTCGAACTCTGCTCGTTATATGAGTGTTAAACGAGCCGACTTCGAGATCAATTTCAGGCTCGTTAAGGGTTCGAGCTCGAGCACCTTGAGTTTGAACTTGAGCTCGGCTCGTCATCGTTTAGAACCATCAAATGTATTCTTATGTTAAAATTTATATTTTTATTTGTATTAAAATTTTGTAATTTTTTTTTTTTGGTACAAAGAAGGTTTCCACAATCCTAAGCTAGAATTCGTCGGGGATACGAGACCCCAATGTTATCATGCTCAAGTCATGCACCTAAACCCGTGGGCGGTGAGGGAACACGATGCAGACCACTCGGATAATCTACCGCTAGACTCGCCATATGGTCAGTCGCATAATTCGCTTCTCTGTGCACGTGTTTAAAAAGTCATGGTATATCCAAAAAACTTGTGGGCCCTGGAGTAGCAAATGAAACTATATAAATCACCTCAAAAGGTGTCCGACGTACGTAACTCAACAATGGCCTCGTCAGCAGAGCAACCCCACCACCACCGCCACCCCTTCGGCGCCTCCACCGCCCCTCCGCCCACTCCCTTCGGCGCAATCGTGGCGCCTC